CCACATAAACAACGCTGCAAAAATCATCGGGCAGTGCACCATGAAAGTTTTGGCCAGTGCTGTCTCGCTCTGTCTCTGTCTGTCTCTCTGTCAACCCCCCCCCCTCTCTCTCTCTCCTGTCCGGCCGGCCGTTCGCATTTTCATTGTGTGCTCACCGTGTGTGCCCTCTTCCCTTTTTTTTATGATTCGTTGCCACATTTTGTGACTGTGACGGTGTGTGGCGCGGCGGGGCGCTGCCGCCATTATATTGGCTCGGAATATAGCTGACTGACACTGATGCTGCAAGTTGGGCCCGCAGCCACGCCAGCCAACCAGCCCCCCCCCCCTTTCCCCTTTCCGCCGCACGTGGCAGGCCAGCGACACGGCGCCAAACTTGGGGAGGAAATGATAAACTTAAAACGAGAGGAAACAGAGCAGCGCGCTTTTCTCTGTGTGTGTGTGTGTGTGTGTGTGTCCGCAGGGAAAAGTTGTTGTTTCGCGGCGTTTCTGACGACTGTCATTTTATTTGTTTCTTCCGCGCGTCCGGCCGAGCGCGCGCGCCAACTCTGCTGGAACAGGGCAGCCGCGGCGGCGTCGCCGGCCGGCCGAGCGCGCCCCAACAGCGCGGCCCCGAGACGGCGTGTTTCTTTTGTTGGCCGCCAGAGGGCGCCGCGCCGCGCGGGGTTTCTATCATAATATAAAGGCAGTAAATTCCCGAGATGCGGGCTGGCCGGGCAGGGCGGCAACGGGCGATCCGGGCGGGAAGGTCGCACCACCCAGAAAGGATTGGCGGCGGCCAAATATTCCAATTTCCAGAGGGATGTTGCCCCCCCCCCTTTCCCCCCGGACCCGTTGGCCAGTGAAGTGGTGCGGTGAAGAGTGGAGGCATCGCGGCGTGCCCTTGTACTCTGTGCACACGCACGGACCCCTTGGCGATGAAAGTGGCAAGTTAAGAGTGCGCCAGCGAGGAGGCGGTGGAGGTGTCGGAGGTTGACAGAGTGTAACAGAGTGGGGCACACAGTGGGCCAGAAGACCGGTGGAGGCGGACAAAAATCTAGACGCGTTTTGAGCTCCAGAGCTCCTCGCAGTGTTGTGCACCGCCACGCCGTGCCACGCCACGCCGAGCCATATGGGGCCCCAGCAACCTCTTCCTCTTCCTATCCCGGCGCTAATAGCCTCTGGAGATTATACCCCCCAGTGTAACGGCCCGCCCACCCGAACGCACGGCCGGCACACACGGCCCGCGGGGACGGGGGCGGGGCGACTTACGGAGTACGCACGTGTACAGTGTACAATCTCATCGAGACAAAACGCAAATCACGGCTCTCTCTCGCTCACAACTTGCTCTCCGAACGAGGAATCCATTGGTCGGGTCACACGCTCGGTTCGAGTGCCATTCAGCGACTCTGGTGCTCCAAAACTCTGCCGGGCTTTTGACCATCTCCGCCAGTCTCCTCGCCTGCAGTGCAGTGGCTCACTGAATGAAATTCGCCGTCGGTACCATGCCGGCGATGGCTGCTGCGCCCTACAGTGTAGGGCTTCGGCTTCGGCCGAGCAGCCCTAGTTGGCTCGATCATCTGCTTCTGGTGCCGTGCCGCCGAGATTAAAGCGAGGCGAAGCGAGGCGAAGCGAGGCGAGGGGATGATGAGCGAAGCCTTTTCCCGCCTTCTTCCGGCAGATTTCAACTTTTCCACCGCGGGCGGCACACATTTCACGCCCCGGGAGCCGTGCCTGCCTGTCTGCCTGTCTGCCTGCCTGCCTGTCTGCCTGCCTGGGTGCTCCTGGCGCAACCTCTGAACAATGCTGGTGCGTTCGAATGCATTCATAAATAATGCGGTCTGGCTTGCCAAGCCTCCCGGCAGGCCGAAGCAGCACAGGCCCTGGCCAGCCAGCACCGCAAGACCCTTCCCTTCCCCAGCAGGGCAGCGCCAGGGCCGGCAGGCCGGCAGGTTTTGTCGCTCTGTCTCTGCCGCACTCACGGGGCTCTCCGTGAGGGTGCGAGAGACAGAGCGGCGGACCGCTCGGCGGGCAGGCAGGCGGACACAGCGCCGTGCTCCACTAAGCTGGGACACGCGCCGCGCTATTGTGCGCTGCGGCCGTTTGGCTAACGAGGGGCCGCTCTGCTGCGCTGCCGCGCTCCACCCGCTGCAGTGGCTGCAGTCGCTGCACTGGATGCCATAAGTGCCTATTGGCTATCCGAATGCCGGCACGGCCGGCACGGCGTTCCTTTCAAATTGGTCCTCGGTGCTGCGCGGCCCGCCGGGGCTAGCTGGCGGGGCTGGCGGGGCTGGCGGGGCCCCAGCCGACGGCGTTCCCCGTTTCGATCAATGTTTGGGGAGGAACTCGGCCTACGCCGCCGAGCCCCGCTGGGACCGCCGCCGCCGCGCTGCCCCGCGCCGAGTAGGCCGAGCTGCAGACTGATTCCGAGAGTCGTTTGCGTCGCTCGGGCGGTCTCTCCCGCACCCACACGGCACGCCCCGTGAGTGCGAGAGAGACAGAGCGACGAGAACGACTCTCGGCATGAGTCTGCCGGCCGAGGCCCCGGGCGGCTCGCGGGCTATCCGCCTGCAGCCGTCTTGCGGTGTGGCGGCCGGGGCGGCCGGGAAGGAGGTCAAGGTGTTCCGGACGCTGGAGGCCACACGGCCCTCTTATTTCCCTTGAGTAAGGCCCCGCCCGGCCAGTCCGCGCGCGTCGCTCGCCCCATCCGTCTCGCTCCCTCCCCCTCAGGCATGCCCGCTCCTCTCTCTCTCTCTAATTGCCGCCTAATTGCCTCCCGGTTCGACCACACCGCCACCCTCCCTCACACACACACGCACACACACACGTGGAAAAAGAAGCGCCAAGACGCTTTTTTTTCGGTCCTGTCCTGTCTTGTCTTGCTTGCTCGGCCGCCCTGGAGGCTCGACCTCCACCTGCCGGCAATCCACTCGGAATAGGCCGCCCTGCAGCAGCAGTAGCAGCAGCGGCAGCAGCGCCATCAACCGGATGATTGCACGGGAAAAGCCGGAAGCAGGCCGGGCAGGCCGAGCAGCACGACAACAAAGTCCCCCCACGACGCGCCGCGTCGGCCCGGCCGTCCGGCCTCGGCTTCCAGCAACCTTCCAGCTAGCCGAGCCCGAGAGTCTCGCTCTGTCTCTCTCGCACTCATAGGGCGTCCCGTATGGGTGCGAGAGAGAACCGGGTATACACAGGGTAAAGCAACCAATAAGTATTTTTTAAAAAAAGTTATGTCAAAAAACAGTAATTACGGTAACGCACTAATCTTCTTACCGTACGGCTTACTTATTTGTCGCTATTTTTAAAAGCCCAGCCAGCCTTCCTCGTTTCGTCCGGCCGTCCCCGTTCCGTTTCGTCCAGCGGGACGACAAGACGTGGCCGGCAGGAGGCAGAACGACCATCATCACGGGGACCAATAAACCTGTAAATCCCCTCCGAGCGATATCGGCTCGGGAAGACACAGCGGTGGCAAGGAGGCGGGGTGGGCTGCGGCGGGGCGGGGCGGGGCGGGGTGGGGCGGGGTGGGGCGGGGTGGGGCGGGGTGGGGTGGGGTGGGGTTGGGTTTGGGCGGGTGGTGGTCCCTGGGCGTTTGCCGGAACGCAGTATATATCGGTTCACACGGCCAGGGCCTCGGCCACGGCAAAGCGATGGGTGAGGCACGGCGCGCGGCGTTGTACGCCTGGCGTGGCGCGCTGGGCCCCGGGGAGCCAGAGGCATCCGGAGGCATCCGGAGGCAGGGCACGTCACGTAGTCACGTACGGAAGCAGAGACGGGAGGAAGGAGGGACGTCCGCTTGCCGTCCGATGTTGCGGTGTGGCGGCCCGAACGGGTCCGAGCCAATAACGCGCCGCCGAGTAACGACCGAGACTGCACTGTAAAAAAATTCCGTACTTCCGTGCGGCTGCCACTTCTTCAAACTTTGCCAACTGCTTGGTCATGCTGCGGGTCCTGGGCCGAAGGCAGCCAAGCCGAGCCGAGCGGCGCGGGGAGCGCCTGTGACGGAGTGAGTAGGCAACCCGCACGCGCCAGCGCCCCCCGCCTGCCTAGCCAGCACGGCGCTCCGGTGGGGTGGGGACTGCCAAGGGAGGAGGCGAGAGAGAGGGAGAGAGAGAGGGAGAGAGAGAGAGAATGAGAGGGCCAGAGAGAGAGCGAGAGGGAGAGAGAGGCAGTTGGAGTAATTAGCACAAGTGAGGGTCGCGTTAACTATTGAAGCCGCTAGACGCAGTGCCCGCGGCGCGCTGGCTGGCCGTTGCGGTCTCGTTACAGCATTGCCATTCTCCGAGGGCCAGAACGACCCCGACCCCGACCCCGACCCCAAGCCCCGACCCCGACCCCCCCGCGACCCCGTAGTAACAACGAGTCCACGCGACTCGGCCACTGTGTTGGCAGTGCACCCACCGTGCACCTCTCCAAAGAAACTCCCCCCCCCCTTTTCTCCCCAAGCTCCGTACTCCACCGAGGCCGTAAAAGGTATTTGTTATTTGTCCCTCGTCGAGAAGAAACAGTGGGCCGGCGGGGCGGGCCGGGGCGGCCCCGACCCTCCTAACTACCCGCCATTTCCTACGCCGTCTTCGTTTTCCAGACTCCGATTTTCCTGGAACGGCCAAACGAATGAAACGACCCGCTCCCTTCAGTCCTTCCTGGAACTGAAAAGAGGTCGTTGTGCTGCGGATGGAATTGGGGAATTCAAATGAGCGATATTGATTTCATACCTGGTATCCCTGGAAGCACTTTTGATCTAGGTTTGATAGGTACGCGGCAGCGGAGCGCGAGAGCGCCCAGAGAACACGAAACACTCGTCAAGCGGCCAAAAAAAGTCAAAATGAACGTCCAGAAAACTGTCAAAACGTTTTTTTCTCTCCAGAAATTTCGACGAGAAGCAATCATTTTGACACGAAATGACGTCACGATGTGCGTTTGGCGTTCTTTTGGCGGCGGTGGCGCCGGGGATGCGGGGACCGTGATACCGTGTCTCGCGGAGATTAGCAAGTTTGACTGATGGGCTTTTCGCTGTCGTGTTGCAGAGCTGTGCCACGCCGCCACCAAGATCCAGGCTTCCTTCAGGGGCCACGTGGCGAGGAAGACGGTGGGCAAGACCGACGAGGAGCTGAGCAAGGAGATGGCCAAGCTGGAGACTGAGGCCAAGGTAAGACGCACGACGTGCACGACGCACTCACGGTGTGGGGGCCGCCCTGAAAGCCAACTGGACGTCTTGGTTTTTATTTCCAGGGGGTTTTAGATTCACTGAAAAACCCTGGCATCCCCCTGGATTTAAAGGCGGTGCTGAGTGCTGAGCTCGGCCCTGGTTCTTCGTTTTCCTCGTGTCCCTGACGTGCTTGCTCTGCTTGCTGCCGTTGCAGGAGGCCAAGGACCGGGCCGCCAAGGAGCTGGAGGACGAGCTGGCCGACATCGACCTGACGGACCCGGACCTCCACAAGGCGGCCACCAAGATCCAGGCCTCCTTTAGGGGCCACAAGGTGCGCAAGGAGGACGCCCCCGCCGACCAGTGAAGCCCAGCAGGGAAGCCCAGCAGCCCCAGGCCGGGCCAGGCTCTTAGGCCAGGCCACCCTCATGCCCACCCTCATGGCCAACAGCGCGCCCCACTCCAGAGTTCCAGCGGCTGGGGTCCAAGAGTCCAGCAGCCTGCAGCAGCCTGCGTCTCACCGACGGAGGCGCCTTGTTTCTCGCAGTGTCAACCATGCAAAGCCGGCCCCGTATTTTTTTCCTATAAGTGTACGTTACCGCACAAGAGCCCCTCGCGTCGCCTGCACACCATGTTCCCAGTGGCAGTGGTTGGCTGCCTCCCTTCCCTTCCCCCCGTCGTTCCTGTTTCCAACATTTTCTCCTGTTTTTTTTAGGGGTTCCCAAGAACCCCTATTGTCCGAGGTCCGTGGATTCTTCCCCCCCCCCCTCTCCGATTTTCAAATAAACAACTCTAAACTATTTCAACCATGAAAAAAACGAAAATTCCAATTTTTTTCGAAAATTCATCGTGGAAATTTTCCGTAAACGCGAAAAACATAAATTTGCAACAATCGAAAACGAGAACCGTTAATGATATGAAAAAATGGTTCAAATAAAAAATGTGCCACTCCTCAAAACTAAACCTCCTGGCTCATCAAAGTAACAAGAAATCGTATATGTTCTGAGCAAATGGTCAAAACATGAAAAAAAATCTCCATGGCAACGGCATGGTCCCATCGTACCACCCATCAAAATTTAAAGTCGCCCATTAAAAAAAATCTAAACGCCGTGAAATTTGAAAATGCTAATGCTAACACATTGCACGGTGTCTCAACGTTGGAACATCTTTAAAGTCTGTCACTACTAAAGAGTTCGTAGCAGAAACGACGCATCAAATTAATTTTCATGGGTTGGCACCAATATGCTTCCCGTCTGCGCCCTTTCGAAAATCGCGAGGCTGAAAGAACGAACAGGCGCCCATTGAAACTGCCCCTCCATTGTTGCTGAGGTTGGATTGTTTGGCATGCTCTCAAAGGCTGCGGTTGTCTTGTCATGTTTTCCTCGATTTTCAACCAGTTATGGAAACGGGAACACCGTGCAATGCGATTAGCATTGGAATTTTTTCCACTGACGAAGGCGCCGCCAGAGAACGGAGTGGCTGTGTCTGTGTCCAGGCCGCATGGGGTGAATTGTGAATACTCCTTGCGCAAGCAACCCCAGTCCTTTACCGCCTTTACCCCACGGCTGGGACTACTCCTTGCTCACGCCTTATTATGTTGTTATTTTGCATTGTCTTGTCTTGGTGGAGCCCGAGCAGGACGACGCCGCAAAGCCGCACCCTTACTGTTAAGCCACACACGCCCTTTGGTTTGTTAGCGCAGCAAGGGCTGTGAAGGTGTTGAATGTGTCAAGTGCTCACTGAACCTTTCTTTTTGAATTTAAAAAACAAATCTATGCCCTTCAGGAACAGTGTATGTATAAGGTCACGAGTTTAGATTGTGAGTATGACAGGCCTGCGGTGTTCACATTACCATTGTTAACATGGAGTCGAGATTAAATTCATCATTCCGTGCTTAGGCACTCCTTCATTATTCGTAATGAAATAGATGCTCTGCTCATTCTTTCAATCTATCAAACTTTCTCCAAACTTATGCTTTGTTAATCTATTATTTATTTTCTTCTTAGAAATAAGGTTATTTAAAAAGCCTACAATTTATGTCATTAATAGATTTCTATGTTTCTTTCCAAGAAAATAAAAGCACAGACATTTGGAGCGAGCATGTTACAGTAGTCAATTGTGAGATCAATTTCAATGAGATGTTGCTCGTAATAATCATAGTGAGATGGCAACAGAGACTGCCACTGTAAGTTTATCTGTCTTCAAGTTCTAACTTTGTAAAATTATATAAAATCTATCTTGGAAAATATTGCAAAGCCTTATTTATCTGCTACCTATACCTAACACAACATCTACAGGATGAGATAATGAATGTACTTCTGCAACAGCACAGGAAACATGGGTACCATACAATACAATACTGAAATAAAATCAAATTAAATTTTTTTCCTACTCTAAGAATAAATATACATATATTTAAAATTCATAAATAAAATATTTCAGTCATGTTAAAAAAATTTCAATCAGACACAATAGTTATTGCCAGTTTGTGCTCTTTCCACATAAAGAGCTTAGGAAGAAAGATCTGGAAAAGGAAACAAGCATTGTAAATATGAACCAATTTGATGTCCATCTCAGCTCAGATGACATCCTGAATTGCATCACTCAACACCAAGCAAAACACTTACATCATTGCTGAGACCATCAAAGCTCTCTGACATTTGTTGTGCCAAATCCTCTGACACAAGAATTTGCAACCAGGGTCCATGGGCTACAAATGGGTTGTCAGATGTTACAAAAGTGCCAGTAACATTAGAAGATACAAAGGTGATGGCAGTGTCACCTAAAACTGACTTAAAAGTAAAATGTCGTCCGTGTTGAACTCGGCCCCTAGAATGAATAAAAATAAGGTGTTGGGTGAGCTAGAACTGTAAAACTTGCAAAAAACAAAACTAAAGCTTTTCATTAAAATTTTGTATAATTCATTACCGGATAGCCAGAGGGAGTAGCAATCCTGACTCAAGGTTAAATGTAAGGTGAAGTCCATCCAATTTTCTTGTGCGCATCAACTCAGTTGATTCAAGAACTTGAGGTGCAACATCCTCAAATGAATTTTTCCGGCACGAGTTGCCATTGCTGAAGGAAAATATCAGATTAATAAGAGAATTCAATTGTATCAACCAAAAAATTTTTTTGCATGTACCAACCTATCAAAAGGTGATGAAAGCCTATCGTTACTGTCCTTACTTCGAGTATTTAAGAGGCCTTTCCTGAGTTCTGCTTTGATTCGAACACGTTCTTCATCTGATACAGAGGGTGGTATGGGAGCATCAACATGCAATCTCGACGAATTACTGTGATTATCAGGCTGCACAGCAGGTCCCTCCCGCAGATATCCTCCTTCTCCACTGTCTTCATTATCTGTACAAAAGGAAGAAAAATGAAGGTTACGGGGAAAGTACTGGTAGCTTTGAATTAACGTGGGGACAAACAGATTTTATCGGACGTACCAGAGGGACATGGTGATATCTGGTCTGGATCAGCTTCTACCCAGGAGCAGCGAGCACTGACTCCACTCAAACTAGACCCGTCACTCTCTATTCCCAACTCAATTTCCTCCTGCACACACACATCTAATTCCAGGATACTTTCTCCTCTGCGCATATCTGTCACCAGCCATGGTCCACCGGCCCTGGAAGGAGCAAAAATATATTTTAGTCATAAAAAGGGAGGAGAAATTCTGCAAGTCTTGTATTGATGCATACCCATTCACTCTTTTTAAAATGTCAATAACCCCTTGTCCTTTCCATCGCTGAGCTGCCTGCAACTCTTCTTGACAAACGCCGATTATCTGAATAAACGTGACACTTCCGAGGGGTGTTTGCAGGACTCCCAAAACCGGGTCTGCTCTCAAAGGCTGCGGTTGTCTTGTCATGTTTTCCTCGATTTTCAACCAGTTATGGAAACGGGAACACCGTGCAATGCGATTAGCATTGGAATTTTTTCCACTGACGAAGGCGCCGCCAGAGAACGGAGTGGCTGTGTCTGTGTCCAGGCCGCATGGGGTGAATTGTGAATACTCCTTGCGCAAGCAACCCCAGTCCTTTACCGCCTTTACCCCACGGCTGGGACTACTCCTTGCTCACGCCTTATTATGTTGTTATTTTGCATTGTCTTGTCTTGGTGGAGCCCGAGCAGGACGACGCCGCAAAGCCGCACCCTTACTGTTAAGCCACACACGCCCTTTGGTTTGTTAGCGCAGCAAGGGCTGTGAAGGTGTTGAATGTGTCAAGTGCTCACTGAACCTTTCTTTTTGAATTTAAAAAACAAATCTATGCCCTTCAGGAACAGTGTATGTATAAGGTCACGAGTTTAGATTGTGAGTATGACAGGCCTGCGGTGTTCACATTACCATTGTTAACATGGAGTCGAGATTAAATTCATCATTCCGTGCTTAGGCACTCCTTCATTATTCGTAATGAAATAGATGCTCTGCTCATTCTTTCAATCTATCAAACTTTCTCCAAACTTATGCTTTGTTAATCTATTATTTATTTTCTTCTTAGAAATAAGGTTATTTAAAAAGCCTACAATTTATGTCATTAATAGATTTCTATGTTTCTTTCCAAGAAAATAAAAGCACAGACATTTGGAGCGAGCATGTTACAGTAGTCAATTGTGAGATCAATTTCAATGAGATGTTGCTCGTAATAATCATAGTGAGATGGCAACAGAGACTGCCACTGTAAGTTTATCTGTCTTCAAGTTCTAACTTTGTAAAATTATATAAAATCTATCTTGGAAAATATTGCAAAGCCTTATTTATCTGCTACCTATACCTAACACAACATCTACAGGATGAGATAATGAATGTACTTCTGCAACAGCACAGGAAACATGGGTACCATACAATACAATACTGAAATAAAATCAAATTAAATTTTTTTCCTACTCTAAGAATAAATATACATATATTTAAAATTCATAAATAAAATATTTCAGTCATGTTAAAAAAATTTCAATCAGACACAATAGTTATTGCCAGTTTGTGCTCTTTCCACATAAAGAGCTTAGGAAGAAAGATCTGGAAAAGGAAACAAGCATTGTAAATATGAACCAATTTGATGTCCATCTCAGCTCAGATGACATCCTGAATTGCATCACTCAACACCAAGCAAAACACTTACATCATTGCTGAGACCATCAAAGCTCTCTGACATTTGTTGTGCCAAATCCTCTGACACAAGAATTTGCAACCAGGGTCCATGGGCTACAAATGGGTTGTCAGATGTTACAAAAGTGCCAGTAACATTAGAAGATACAAAGGTGATGGCAGTGTCACCTAAAACTGACTTAAAAGTAAAATGTCGTCCGTGTTGAACTCGGCCCCTAGAATAATAAAAATAAGGTGTTGGGTGAGCTAGAACTGTAAAACTTGCAAAAAACAAAACTAAAGCTTTTCATTAAAATTTTGTATAATTCATTACCGGATAGCCAGAGGGAGTAGCAATCCTGACTCAAGGTTAAATGTAAGGTGAAGTCCATCCAATTTTCTTGTGCGCATCAACTCAGTTGATTCAAGAACTTGAGGTGCAACATCCTCAAATGAATTTTTCCGGCACGAGTTGCCATTGCTGAAGGAAAATATCAGATTAATAAGAGAATTCAATTGTATCAACCAAAAAATTTTTTTGCATGTACCAACCTATCAAAAGGTGATGAAAGCCTATCGTTACTGTCCTTGCTTCGAGTATTTAAGAGGCCTTTCCTGAGTTCTGCTTTGATTCGAACACGTTCTTCATCTGATACAGAGGGTGGTATGGGAGCATCAACATGCAATCTCGACGAATTACTGTGATTATCAGGCTGCACAGCAGGTCCCTCCCGCAGATATCCTCCTTCTCCACTGTCTTCATTATCTGTACAAAAGGAAGAAAAATGAAGGTTAGGGGGAAAGTACTGGTAGCTTTGAATTAACGTGGGGACAAACAGATTTTATCGGACGTACCAGAGGGACATGGTGATATCTGGTCTGGATCAGCTTCTACCCAGGAGCAGCGAGCACTGACTCCACTCAAACTAGACCCGTCACTCTCTATTCCCAACTCAATTTCCTCCTGCACACACACATCTAATTCCAGGATACTTTCTCCTCTGCGCATATCTGTCACCAGCCATGGTCCGCCGGCCCTGGAAGGAGCAAAAATATATTTTAGTCATAAAAAGGGAGGAGAAATTCTGCAAGTCTTATATTGATGCATACCCATTCACTCTTTTTAAAATGTCAATAACCCCTTGTCCTTTCCATCGCTGAGCTGCCTGCAACTCTTCTTGACAAACGCCGATTATCTGAATAAATGTGACACTTCCGAGGGGTGTTTGCAGGACTCCCAAAACCGGGTCTTCAGTCATCAGCATATGTTGAATGCGAGACTCACCATTATCAAGAGCACTGTGCCATGATACATGGTCACCAGAGCAAAGAGTATTGCCTGCCAGAAAAAATAAATGAGTATCTTACTTGGATTTTTGATAGATGTTTACAAAGTAACTGTAGGCATATCTTACTCACCAGACTGAAAAACATATTTTGCTAAGGCTTGCATGAGGGCAGCGGGCCAAGTGGGGGGTGAGGTTTCATCTGGCTCTCTTTTCAATCGAAATGTGAGCTCAAAACCAAAACCACTGGGAGAATCATTACCAGATCCTTCATGAACACGCCCATCCCCATGGAGGTCTGAGAGTCCAAAACTGGAAAACAAGACAAAAGTCATTCATGATTCTATTAAAAGAACAGCTATGGAGGAAGCTATGGTTACCTTATGTAGTGCCAATGGGGGGGAATATTATGCTCTGCGTCACCTTGATGAGAATACATGGAGATGTAATCAAGAGGATCTGGACCGCCCAACCTGGAAAATTAAAAAGAGAAAACAAAAATAGTGAATATTGCCAAAATCAAACTCAACAGTCGATGACAGCCCATGCCTTCACTTCAGCAGCCGATCAACAAGTAACAAATACATAAATGAAACTGTCCATGCTTATCACACAAGGTATGGAAAAGGGAACATTCTGCCACCGAGATAGTACCACTGTTCGATTCTATAACCAGGTACCACTACCGGCCTAACCCCAAGCGGTCCTTACCAGTACTTCACCAAAGCCGTCACTTGCAAAGGGTTGGGCTGGTTGGGGTACACTCGCCTACACAGGGCGTACAGCGCATCCAGACCCGGAGGGGTCACGATCATTGGGGGTAGGCTCATGGCACTGGAAAGGAAATATCAGGACGACACAACACAAAAGACTGACATTCCAAAGGGTAGGCAGCAGCAAAACATAAACAATTAGCAGTCTCTTGTTGTTGTTTGTTGTTTTTGTTTGTTTTTCCTTCCCAGTGTGGCTCATGCCACAGGTTCATTCTAAAAATATGGCCAGGGGCGAAAGCGTGAAATGGAGCTTCAGGACACGGGTGATTTTTTTCTACACCTATTATAATTTCTTACAAGATTGATCATAAATAAGGGGGTTGTGAGAGTTTCTCACCTTCGTATTCGGCACGAAAGCATACCTGAAACTAATTTTGTGGTGGCAGCATTGCGCGGAAACGGAAGTGTACTGGAACACAAGGCAAAGAGGCCCCGCCTAAATATGATTTTGCAGAGTTCTAATCTAGGCCCTCCTCGCACTAATACGCGACTTGTGCAGCTTGACATTTGCTTCCCGAATCAGTTGAACACTAAGCGTTTCTTGAAATTGAACGAGGAGATATTCCCCACGAAATGCATAATCTATCTGCTTTTACAACGCCTAATAACAAAATCAATAATCCAACACGGCCTTGTTGATGTTCTGCTGTTTACCTGGCTCTACGACGTCTTGGCTGGAGAAAAAGTAATCATTTCGTGTTCCAAAAGTCGATTGCATTTTGGGAACGGTTTCCGTCTTTGGGCAGCTCAATCTTCCTGCAGACGAACTCACTGCCAGGGCGGGGATTTATTTGGGTTCAAAGTTCACTGACTGTGCCTAGGCGTGATGTCACCTCACGGAAGTGAACAGCTGTCCAAGTGTCACTGATCCTCGGCCCTCGGCTCGTTCAACATGTTCGACATTTGTTCTGTCTCTTGAAAAATAAGCGGCCGACCTAAGAAAACTTGAAGTGATTTCCTTCGCATTTGTTTGGTAAGTTAAAGAAAGTACTGCCCAGAATGTCACGCCAATTTCGCAAGCTGTCTTGTTTTTATTGTTATCTGCACAGAGGTTAAAGGTTCTCATTTTTTATTTTTTTGGGGTAGGCCCCTTCTTTGTAAACATCATTTGTTTTGATCCGTCAACGGTTACTTGCTCCTAAATTATCGAACTTTTCAAACTAGAAACTTTCTGTGATTTGGGTTACTCTTACTTACACAAACCAGGAGCTTCGCTTAACCGACAATGTGTAAACATGTCAAGTCAGCGTAGTCTTACTCAAAAATGTGCATCTATAGTTGTTGTTTATTAATTTATTTTATAACCCAGTAGATTTTTCCATCGCATTGGTAACTGAAATCCTTAAACCACTTTTGGATGGATAATTTAACCTTTAAACAATCTTAGATACCACTGGCCTTGACATTTGAAATTATTTTACTGAACTCTTTGCAGCGGACCTCATCATGGATCTGTTTGAAGATGATAATATAACCACCACTCCATTTCCTTACTATCCTTCAAATAAAACCACTTGTAATTACATTAATAAAACTGAATACCAATACGTTGACCACTGGGAAGGCATACCTGAGAATGTTTTACTCAATGTGGTATCGTGGCTTGTAAGTATGCTTCAGAACAAGTATCTGTGAAGTAGTTTATGAATGTAGATTTTGTCTATAAACTTGTTTTGATTTCCTTTCCAGATTCTTTTGACCTTGTTTTCTGTGCTCAGAAAACGAGCTTGGAATTATGGGCGAATAGCACTTGTTCAGAAAACAGAAGAAAAGTAAGATGGACTTTCTAGTTTGAATTTATTCTATTTGTTATTTGTTTAAATGTTACCTCATATCAAACATTTTGTGTATTTTCTTACAGATGGACACAGCTATTTTATGGAGCTGTTGATGAAGGTGTTGGGGCCAGCGAGCTTGAAGACTCGGTGGCATCACTGGACTCCTCAATCCAGATTGATCAAGGCTTCTGCAATTGGCTAGTTGCCATTTTCAAAATCAAGTAGGCTTCACAATCACTTACAAAACACTCGATTAGACTCATCATATTATTTATTATTAATGCTGTTCTTGTTTTGATCAGGGACAGCAATATAGCTCAAAAATGTGGACCAGATGCTATTCAATATCTTCAGTTTCAAAAGCACATAATCTTATATGTAGCAATTCTCACTGTGATTTCACTAACTGTGGTGCTGCCTATCAACTTTCAAGGAGAAATGCAAGGTGACGAAACAACATTTGGTCACACTACTCTCAGCAATCTGACACCAAAGTAAGCCACCCATTTTTTTCTTAGAAAGTATTTAATAAATAATTTGAAAAAATATATCAATTTGATAATATTTTCAGCTCTCCTTTGCTATGGATCCATGTTACACTGGCTATATTGTATCTTCCTTTGGGAATAATCATCATGCGCCGTTTTTCCGTGAACATCAAGGTCACAGAAAGAGAGGGTCAGAGACGCTCTCGAACTCTCATGATTACTAACATTCCTCGTAAAAACTGTGACAAAGATGATCTAATGCGGCATTTTAGGTAAGCTGTCTATTTAAATTCATATCGTCAATGTAACTTTTGTAACAATGTAACATGTTTTTTAATTACTGATGGGTGTTTTTGCAGAGAGGCTTATCCAGATGTGCACATTCATGACATTCAACTAGCATTTGATGTTGGTAAAGTGAGCTCATTAGAGAGAGACAGGTAAATGGATAAAACTGTAATTATCAGTTCAACATTAGATTTGTATGGCATTCTTAATTGTTAATATTGTGCTTCATTAGGTCCGATGCTTTTGAAGCAAAAACCTACTGTGAAAATTATCTTAAAACCACTGGACTTCGTTTGGATATGAGACCACACGTATGTGGAAACACATGTTCATGCTGTAACTTTTTTGGCTACTCTCCTACTGTAAGTATTTCACAGTTTTGTTCGTAATTTGTTGCTTTAGCTACTAAGTGCTTATCTTCTCATCACATTTAATAATTTTAGGTTGATGCGCTGGAGTACTATGTGGAAGAAGAGCATCGGTTGCGAGAAAAGGTTGAGTCAGAACGTATTGCAGCATTAAAGAAGCCTCTTGGAATTGCTTTTGTTACATTCATGTCTGTAGAGAAAGCAAAACAAGTTTATCGTCATCACCGTTCCACTTTTGGTTGTGGCCATGACCCCCCACATAGTAGCATGAGCAACAGTCTGAAACCACACAGGTGGCATGTTACATTTGCCCCCTCACCAGCTGACATTTACTGGTAAGTTCACTTTTGTCTAAAAAATATCTACTGTTTTGTTTCCTTCATTTCTCTTCAAGCATGGAAGACTGTATTTAACTGAATATTGTTGGATAAGATTGAAACTGAACTGTCATTCCTTTCAGGGAAAATCTATCCATGCCTTCAAGATACTGGTACTTGAAGGCTATAACTATCAACATTGTGCTTTTTATTGTCTTGTTTTTCCTGACTACCCCTGCTATCATTGTAACATCTCTTGATAAACTGAAAGTGGATGAAAAAATTCGTAAAATGGCAAGTATACTTGAATTTTACCTGACCGTGTGAAGTTATTGTTTTTGTTCAAAAATAATATGATGATTTTCCCTTTAGAGCCCTGTGCTGTCGGAGTTTGTCCCAGCATTGATGTTGGTGTCTGTTGCTGCCTTCTTACCGGTGCTTGTTGGCTACTCTGACCAGTGGCTCAGCCATTGGACAAAGTCTGAACGCAATCACTCCATCATGGTCAAAACCTTTGCATTTCTTCTCTTCATGGTTCTTATCTTACCATCTTTGGGACTTACAAGGTGAGTATTTATGTTGGTGCTTTTCTCTGCTCTTGCTTGCCAAATGTCTAATGTTGTGTTCTCTTCAATTTATTTTGTAGTGCTCAAACGTTTCTGGAGTGGACATTGCATGCCAAAACAGAACCTTATAGGTGGGAGTGTCTGTTTTTGCCGGACAAAGGTGCTTTCTTTGTCAACTACATCACAACTGCAGCATTTATTGGAACTTCTCTTGAGTTGATCAGATTCCCTGACCTCTTCTTTTACGTGCTTCGTCTTTGTCTAGCAAGGTATGTATTAGCTTCTCTCACATCTTATTCACAACACTTGGTTTGCTCTTACTCATTTAAATTTGTCATCTATTTAGGTCTAAAGCTGAAATGCAAAGTGTGAGGAAGGCCATTCTTTGGGAATTTCCTTTTGGTGTACAATATGCTTGGATGCTGCTCATATTTGCCATGACAATGGTTTATAGCCTCTCCTGTCCCCTGATAACTCCATTTGGTGAGTCTTCATACCACATGACTTCTTCTGTTCCTAATCTCTCAGAACTCTCTAACGCAATTTTATTACTCTATTCCAGGGCTCCTGTATATGGTTCTGAAGTACTTAGTTGATAAACACAACTTGTATTTTGTCTATGGGCCATCAAATATCAGCCAACGAATTCATTCAACAGCCATTAACATAGTGATTGTGTCGATTGTGATGTTACAAGCCAGCTTCCTGGCTCTTGCTGTGCTTCGTAAAGGGTTGAATGAGATAGCAATATACTCATTGACTGGCTTAGTCATAACCATGTGTTTCTTTATTGCACATTGGCTCTTCCATTGTTGCCGTGGTTTCAGCCCAATTGCATATCAGGTGATTGCAAAAAAAAAAAATTGTGATTTAGGTCAAATGTTGTTCTATGTATTATGTTTGGGTGACTAATGCTCTGTGTGAATCTTTTTGTTCCCGTGCAGCCTAACTCTCCTTCTCAGTCATCAACACCAAGCCGTGAACCTGCAGCTAACCATCGGTTTGTGCCTCATGTTCTTCAGTCTGAAGGATCTGGTTCACCTTTAGGTGTTTCTCGGTCTTTGAGGAGTACTATGAGTACCATTGCCCATCAAGAGCTCGCAACTGTCCACAATGTGGCTGAAGACCTAAGCAGAATTCAGCAAGCCTGTGCTGATGAAATGGCCCAGTCAGAAGAGGTTGTACGAGTACAAGCCCCTGACAGTAGCACTTCTATTTCTCAAGGGAATATAGTGTTAATTGATGTAGATGGTGCTCGTCGAGACATTGATGTTTAGGCAATGGTTTGGTGATTTTATTAAAGTGAGATTTATTTTTTAAATGTATAAACAGACTTACCACTGCATGGCTGTGCTCCAAAACTCTAATATAAGTGAACATTAATTTTATTATGTTAAAACAGCTTGTTCCTTTTGATGTTTAGCAATACAGCAGGAATGTGTACCCTATTTGGGGAACTTGAAATTATTGACTGTGATTTAATGGCAAAGAATAGGCAGCGGCACCATCGAGGTGCCCTGTTAGTTGTTCCCCTCTATTGTTGGATCGGTAGCATTTGACTGAACAGTATGTGATTTAATGAACTGTGTAACATATTAGAATCAATTTGCGGATGTACATATGATGAACTCATTAATCCAAGACAGTTTTAACTTGAGTTTTATGCTTGTTAATTTGAGTAGGTATCTATTAGAAGACATAGCTCACTGTTTCATTGTTTGTATATTGTCAATTATCGTCTTCATATGGTTTGTAACTTAGTCCTTCCAAAAATATAAGTCGTCTTCTAGCAAAACTAGTCAGCACTCAACACTATTTTGGCTGACCTAGTTGGTTTTTGCAATTTTAGCACAGAAATAGGAGAGCTGTACATTTTCCCCCTATATAATTAATTTTAGATTCCTAGAAAATATTTGATCCTTAATTTGCATTTAATACATAGTAATAATATTTGTTAGTTGGTTGCCTTTCTTAGGATTGTCGTGGAAAGTAGCCATGCTGTAGGTATTTTTATCTGTACGGACTTAAATGTGTGATATTTTGTCCTTCCTCTTACATACACAGGATATTGCTTTTGGTTAAAGCTTTTCTTAAATTGCCTCTTGAAGTTCTTGAGCTTAGTGCTTTACTGTTAGTGCATCCCTGTGGCTTGTTCCTTGTGAACATCCCATTTTGTTTCAGCAGAGGTAAAATGCACATAGTAAAGCTTGCAAGCTTATTAGTAATCTTTGAAAGAAAAAGACAATTGTGGTCCAACTAGCTAATTACTGATTTTTTTGGAGCATGGCTTCCTTATTATCTCCTTCCTCAAGAATTTGTAGTTGTTGAAATTTAAAAAGTTTTCCAGGTCAGGAATGAAATATTTGCAATGTTTTCATGTCTTCAAAAGTATTTATTCTTTCCTCGCTTTATTCTTTTATTCTTTACTGTTTTAGCTTACCAAAGAAAGTATCATGTTTTATTCAACCAAATGCTGTTTTCATGAGATGGTTGTACCCCATTCTTAGGTCTGCAAAAGCTAAGTTTTTGCAGCTTTTGTGCAAATTTGCTCGCTACTATCATAGTTCTGTTAGCTCATTTATTCTTGCAATTCCTTCTTCACCCTTTTCATTTAAGTTAACTGTGCTGCTATGACAAAATTGCTGTGTAATTTTGGTTCTTCCAAAGCTACTTCATTGCATATCACTGATTTAATCATTTTTGACTGTTTTGCATGTGGTAACTATTAGCCCTCATTATTGTTGTATTACTAACTGATGAGTACGTACTTCTTTTTTACATGCATGTTACAATTGCCAAGGTGTCAAAGGGAGTTATATTGTGATATTCAAATCTCCTTTGTTGTGAACAGCAGGATTGATTTGGTATCTTGAATAACAACGCTTTAAATATATGTATTGTTTTTTTGAGGGAGCTTATACAGTGTCCAATCATATAATGGGTATTATGAGATTATCACACTAAGGAATGTGTTTTTGTATTTCATGAAATAAAATAGGGTCCTTTGACATTTTATGTTTTTATGTACAGCCTTGTTTCATTTCATATACCTTAGCACATTGAACTTAAATTTGTAACATGTGTTGTGGTATTAAAAATGGTACTTGCACAGACTACCTAGAACATTGGTTTAGCTTTCCCTCAACCCACCGGGAGGTGCCCCATACACTCACAGTGGCTGCGACAGTGGTGCCGCCCTGAGGCGCTCTGGGGCACTGTAAGCATTACTGTTGATGGAAGTCTTGATTCATGATCATTGATGATGGGTCAACCTTCTGCTCCAAATTTGCAGTTACCCCAGACAGAAGTGGAATACAGACAACTGTGCATTATTGAACTCCCCAAGAACCTCCATTTTGTCTACATTACGAACAATAGCAACAATTCTGTTTACAAACAAATTGATTGACTTAAGACTTAATGGCACAGGGCAACCTAAATATTTTCCATACGGGACAGCCTTAAAACTTTGATTGTACACATACAAATCTACCACTCCACTTTCAGAAACAATTAAACTTCGTTGAATAACAGCACATTTTTCAAGACATACTTTCATGACGTGGAGCTCTGTTTTGTCCACCATGGTCATCCAATATTTGGGAAGAACTGACTCAAGTTTTCTTTTTACTTTCAAAAATAATGTCTGAAGTTTAGTGTCTGTACTTTCTTCTGGTCTTGTAACCTTCAGTGTCTCTGATTTGATCCTAGTTCGGTAGCCCTCCGGTGCTGTCTCCACAGTTGCAGAGCTCTTCGGGATTTCACTTACGTAATCATGATCACAAAGAACCTAAAAATAAGAACCAAAGAGTTAGAAATCACTCATTAAGCTTGTTTTCTGAGACAATAACTAAACATAACATACCGAAGATAGATCGGAAGTTGGAACCTCAGGGGTAGTGACAGTTTCTGAAATCAGCTTCTGCTTTTTCTGCTTTTGAGGGCGATTTCCGCTCTAATGAAAAGCAAATAAAACTCAAGTTAGGCAGTCATGAAGGGTTATCCAAGTATGAGCAAAAAGTGCAAAACAACACCGACGTGATTGTCATGGTTTTTCCGCCTCCTTTTTAACTGACGGCCAATACGCCGGCGTTTTGATACCTTCTTCGGGGGCTTTCTTTTACGTGGGGGCTCGGGATCTGTCTTCATAATTGTGCTCATTGGTCAAAAATTTCAAAAATTTCCTGCAAAATGAGGTTAGCAAAGTGTAAACAAACTGAGGATGTACAATGCTGAGAAGGCAAAGTTGATAATAATCGCTATGAAGATACCTAAAGTCGACGCCGAAAGTCACCAAGAAATATTATCCAGCCTCGCAATGGATAAATATGGCTTATTATATTTTTTATGGCCACAGTAAGGGACAACAACAAAACAAGGAGTGAGAGAGAGAGACAGCAGACAGCAGACAGTCACCGTAAACGGAAACGGACGACGCTGGCGCGAGCGCCCAAGCGGCCGGGCCATGGCGCGAACTACAATTGAGGTGAACGGGCGGGCAAGCGAAGGGAAGGCCCATACAAAGCTTTGCCACACGCCACCGGGATGTGGGGATTTTCAAAAATAAAGTACTTATGTAACGGATTTTTTTTTCTGGATCCTTGTTGCCGTGTCGCCCGTCATCCCGGTGCATCTCCCGTAGGTATTCCCCAAGGAGAACAGGTAGTCAAAATCTGGTCACCACGACATCAAATGATGGAACGGCCCCTCTAAATGCGAGGGAGACAGAGCGGCGGAAACGACTCTCGGAACCAGTCTGCTGGGTCGCGGTCCTCGCGGCCGAGGTCGCCGAGGTCGTGACGACGCATGCAGCCCGGTGCTGAGGACCTCGCGAATTCCCACAGGCAGTGCACTCCCTCTGTCTCGCTCGCACTCATGTGGCGTCGCACCCGCGTCGCGCGAAGGGGTGCGAGAGAGAGAGAGAGAGAGAGAGAGAGAGAGAGAGAGAGAGAGAGAGAGAGAGAGAGAGACAGACAGACAGACAGACAGACAGACAGACAGAGCTAGCGTTGCGCGCTAATCCCGCTCCATTATGGTAATGTTGCTCAGCCAACGACGCACGCCCTAATCCGCCGAGCGTAACGCGGCTGTGATTTTTTTTTCTGGAAAATCACTTTGCGATGGAAGAAAGCCGGAAACGGAGGCAGACTCAATTCCACGGATTGGAAGGAAAGGCAGTGAGAATTCTAATACCGTGTTGCGCTGCGCGTGTGAGTGAGAATGAGAATCTCGAATGAGAATGCGCGAGGGAGACGGAAACGGAGATTAGCGTGAACCCAGACACGGTTCAAATTGTGGCCGCGCGGCCGCCGTAGGCTCGGCCAGGCAGCCGTAGGCCTCCCCTCCACCTCTGCTCCATACACGCCGACGTCCATGCACATGAATGGGCTCTGGAATGAAATGAATGCAGAGAAGGAATTGAATGAATCAAAGGATGAGTGAAGGTCGCCTAATCTGGCCGGGCGTTGCAGACACACGCCCGGAGCGCGGCAGCAGCGCGCCTCACCCGGCCGTCGCGGACGGCTCGGCCAGACCTCCCCCGTCGTCTGGCCGTGGTCTGGCCGGCCGTCTGACTGCGCGTCGCTGTGGCTGTGGATGCCTCGATCCAACTCGCTGTCCGAACACCTACAAATTTTACCCGTGTCCTCCATCGACCAGGCAGGACTTGGTGTGCACGCACGCTGCGCTGAAAACCTTGCGAAGTATTTTGATCATCTTCTACAGATTGTACTTACTTCGAAAAAAGTTCATCATTTACGAACTATTTCTTTTTTGTAAGCTTGCGTTTAATCAACGCACACTGTTATATGAAGCTACTTTACTTCGCAAGACTTAGATTGTTAAGGTTTTCAGAGTGTGTCTTGTGGCTTTCAAGGGTGGTTTAATTGTACAAGGTGGTCCAGAAAGTGGCACGAAGTCTCCACCGATGCATTTTCAGTGTCGAACCGAGGTCGAACCGCACGCAAGGCTCGGTGGAAAATTCCTAAAGGACGTCCCTCGAAAATCTGAACAAAATGAGGCATCTGAGTTGTCTCTGGCGGTTTCCTCATCGTTTGGCCCATCCCTGGGAATGCCCAAGGAGTAAACCACAAATATGCGCGTAGTCAAATCAGCCGAACATGAGAACGAGGCCCAAGGATGGGAAGGGAGATGAGCGTCTGGCTGCGTGGCCCGAGTGGGCCTCACCACGGCTGGGCGAGGCGGGGTGGGGCGGGCCCGATCCTCCTCACTAAGCAGCTAAACCAGAAGAAGAGCAAAACCTCTTTGATTCATTTCCCGGCCATGAATTGTTTATCGCAAACCGGCGAACAATACGTGTCTGGTTGCGCTGCGCGATGCTGCGCGTTTGCGCCGGGTGGTCTCCGAAGCGGCTTCGGCGTCGTGACTCGGGCCGCACGGCCGCCGCACTCATTACGGCGCTCCGAACCACAGGAACGCATCTCGGAGGCAGCCAGCCGGGCCGAAATCGAAATCCTCCGGCAGCAGAGACCCGTATGGAATTGGAAATCTGGAAACGGTCTCTTAGAGGTCTTGTTCTCGTCTTCCCGGGAAGACGAGTTAGCGAGCACGGCCAGACCGATTGGAGACTATAAGTAGACCGATGTAAGACGAGTGCCAGACGAGAACGCGGTCCGTGCGGCCGTCTTCCTCTGGTCTTCCTGCAGTCTGACCGTGGTCTGTCTGCCGTCTGGATTTGGTGCCTTTCCAGACCAGATCCAGACCAGATTCAAACGAGATTCAGCCGCCTACATAAAAACAAACACGCGAGTGGCGGACACTGCGTATCGAACACAGACTGTCCGCGTCGGAAACCGGTGCCCCATGCCGCTGGGCCAGAGCGACATGGTTGAAGAGGGGGTCGAGCGGAGCCGTAGTGTATCTGATTCGACCGGCTGGGTGGAAAGAGCAAGTGCCGCCCGAACTCTGAAGTTCTTCCCGTCTTCTAAAACAACGTCTCCCCCTACATCGCGATCTGTGATCGCGGTTACTACTAAGGCGCAAATAAATATTGTTACGTCCCTCCTACACAGACGAACCTCTGAATAGAGTGCGTACGTAGTGTTGTTGACTAGAAGACGGGAAGAACTTCAGAGTTCAGGCGACACTTGCTCTTTCCACCCAGCCGGTCGAATCAGATACACTACGGCTCCGCTCGACCCCCTCTTCAACCATGTCGCTCTGGCCCAGCGGCATGGGGCACCGGTTTCCGACGCGGACAGTCTGTGTTCGATACGCAGTGTCCGCCACTCGCGTGTTTGTTTTTATGTAGGCGGCTGAATCTCGTTTGAATCTGGTCTGGATCTGGTCTGGAAAGGCACCAAATCCAGACGGCAGACAGACCACGGTCAGACTGCAGGAAGACCAGAGGAAGACGGCTGCACGGACCGCGTTCTCGTCTGGCACTCGTCTTACATCGGTCTACTTATAGTCTCCAATCGGTCTGGCCGTGCTCGCTAACTCGTCTTCCCGGGAAGACGAGAACAAGACCTCTAAGAGACCGTTTCCAGATTTCCAATTCCATACGGGGACTGATTCCGAGAGTCGTTTTCGCCCGCTCTGTCTCTCTCGCGCTCGTGGACGCCATGTCTTGGTGCGAGAGAGACAGAGCGACGAAAACGGCTCTCGGAATAGGTCTGCAGGAAGACAGGTAACCCGAGAGACGTCGTCGCCCTCCTCACCTCATTTCACCCGGGGTGACCGCCGCCGCCGCCACCGCCGTGTGTTGTTGTCGACTCAATATGGTTGTCCGCGGACGCTCAATAAAGCACGCATGCGGCCGTGTGTGTGTGTGTATGTGTGCCGAGGGGGAGGGGGGCAACCGACCACACAGTTATACATGGTGTGTACAGACGAGACGACGTCTTTGTGGAGATATGTCGTAAGATCGCTCTATTGAGGAGAACGCGATTAAATGCATTCTTAGAAGGACCAAAAAGCACAAAGGGAGGCCCGACGGCAGGGGGCGTGACGCGGGAGGGGGAGGGGGGGGGGAGGGGCCAAGGGAGAGGAGGAACGCCGGAGGCGCCAGCGGGGCGGAGGGGTGAGCAGCTCGAAGAAACTCGACACCGGCTCCCGAGGGTCCTTCCCGCCACGCCTTCATCTTGGAAGAAGGAGAAAGAGAAGAAGAAGAAGAAGAAGAAGAAGAAGAAGAAGAAGAAGAAGAAGAAGAAGAAGAAGAATCCAAAAACAACATCACGTCATCATGCAACGAAGTAACCCGAATTGTGTCAAGAATCGGCTCCCTATCAGGAACTGTCATATGGATGCCACTTCGATATCATCATCTTGACTTTATTGTGGTCTACCTGGTGAGGGGGACGGACGACTGCATCAATCCGGGATGCATATGTCGAATTTGTCGAGCTTTGAAAAGTCGGTTCACGTTTTGTCGCTGTGTGGTTATGGCATCAGCACCAAAAGTTTAACAAGTTTGACAAATTGTCGTCAGGTGGGCCATGTTTTTTATGACACACCATGTATAATAGCTCCTGTGCTCCCCGGCATTTTATTCTTTTTTCCGTGTGTGCGTACGCATGTGTATTAGTGCGCGCGTGTGTGGTAGTGTGTGTGTGCCGAGCCTCCGGGCCAGAGCAGACCCTTGCCTTCCAATTGAATTCCTTCAAATGGAGAACAGGACTTACTCGGTGTTTGTATTGACATTGGCACGGGCCGGGAGAGAGAAGAAAGAATGCAGCTGTACGGTCGCTACTGTGGCACGCAGGCCAAATAGAGAAGGGAAGATGGAAATGAATTCTAGCGTGCAATCAGATCGCTGTGTCAACGCTAGCGCCGCCCCGGGGAGAGAGAAGGAAAGAATCCAAAAGAGAAAGGAAAATGGCGCTGTGGTTTGGTTTTGTTCCCTTTCGCCGGGAACTGTGGAACGATAAGTCTCCTCGGTTTGGGAGCTGTACTGCAGCAAAGTTTGTCGAAACGGTAACAAATGTGTAGAAATCACCGTTTGGGCTGACTTTAGGCAGCCACTGCGTCTAATCTAAGGCGGCCAATCGTTCTCCCTCAACGGGTGGGTACTCTTTGGGCCTTCCTTTAGAACACCTTTGTTACGGAGTGCGATTGGCCACCTTAGTTTGGGAGCGGTATTGCAGCAAAGTTTGTCGAAACGGTAACAAATGTGTAGAAATCGTCGTTTGGCCTGACTTTAGGCAGCCACTGCGTCTAATCTAAGGCGGCCAATCGTTCTCCCTCAACGGGTGGGTTTCTCTTTGGGCCTTCCTTTAGAACACCTTTGTTACGGAGTGCGATTGGCCACCTTAGTTTGGGAGCGGTATTGCAGCAAAGTTTGTCGAAACGGTAACAAATGTGTAGAAATCGTCGTTTGGCCTGACTTTAGGCAGCCACTGCGTCTAATCTAAGGCGGCCAATCGTTCTCCCTCAACGGGTGGTTACTCTTTGGGCCTTCCTTTAGAACACCTTTGTTACGGAGTGCGATTGGCCACCTTAGTTTGGGAGCGGTATTGCAGCAAAGTTTGTCGAAACGGTAACAAATGTGTAGAAATCGTCGTTTGGCCTGACTTTAGGCAGCCACTGCGTCTAATCTAAGGCGGCCAATCGTTCTCCCTCAACGGGTGGGTACTCTTTGGGCCTTCCTTTAGAACACCTTTGTTACGGAGTGCGATTGGCCACCTTAGTTTGGGAGCGGTATTGCAGCAAAGTTTGTCGAAACGGTAACAAATGTGTAGAAATCGTCGTTTGGCCTGACTTTAGGCAGCCACTGCGTCTAATCTAAGGCGGCCAATCGTTCTCCCTCAACGGGTGGTACTCTTTGGGCCTTCCTTTAGAACACCTTTGTTACGGAGTGCGATTGGCCACCTTAGTTTGGGAGCGGTATTGCAGCAAAGTTTGTCGAAACGGTAACAAATGTGTAGAAATCGTCGTTTGGCCTGACTTTAGGCAGCCACTGCGTCTAATCTAAGGCGGCCAATCGTTCTCCCTCAACGGGTGGGTACTCTTTGGGCCTTCCTTTAGAACACCTTAGCTCGACGGAGAAGTATTTCATTCATTTCATTCATTCATTCATTCATTCATTCATTCATTCATTCATTCATTCATTCATTCATTCATTCATTCATTCATTCATTCATCGCGCCGGGATGGTCATTGCCCGCGCGTTGCGGGCCCGACTCCAGGCAACCCAGACGGTGGCACCTCTGGCGGCTGCCGGCCGAAACAGCTCCCGCGTCCCATTTGACTCGCCCCCACCACGCCTCAGTGTCCGCCCGACTTCGCCGCGAAGAGGTCGCGCCGCTCCGTTCCTCTGCCCGCGCTTGCTGCCGGCCGGCCGACGCGAGTCTCGACACGCGCTCGTGGTTGTGGTGGCGGTGATCGCCCAGTGCTTTGTGCCAGTGCAGCGGATACCCTTTGGATTACCTTCCTTCGGACCTTGCCGGCCCGCGCCATGGGCGTGGCGGATGATGTCGGGCTCTTCCTGCGGGCGACCCCGGCCCGGGTGACGGACTAGACGTCGACCAGACGGCAAGCCAGACGGCCTAGACTGGACTGACTCGTACTCTCGCGACTGAGCGACTCGAACCGCGTGCCGCCCCAGGACCACCAGCATGACGGCCTTCGCCTTGTGCCTGCTGCTGGTCGGCGTGGCCGCGCCCCTCGGCGCCCGGGCTGGCGGCGCCAGCGTCGTCGGGGACGTGCTGTCGGCCAACCAGGTCGGCGGCCACCTCATCCTCGCCGAGCCCAGGCCCGCCGGCGACCCGCGCTGCCCCCGGCCGTGCACCTGCTCCGGCCCGGCCGTGGACTGCTCCCGCCGAGGACTGGCGCACGTTCCCACCAACCTGCCCACCAACATCGAACGACTGTGAGTACCAGTCGGGGTGAGAGGGGAGGGGAGGGGGAAGCCGTCTGCAGTGTCGCTGCAGACTCCGGCCGGTGAGAATGGCCGAACCGTTCATGCGTCAGCAAAGGTCAGATACGAACCTCAACCTCCAGCAGGCCGGTGCCGAAACGATGCTTTCTGCCTCTCTCGCACCGCGACGCAGCACCGCGTGAGCGCGGGAGAGACAGAGCGACAGTTCAACTCGGCATCGCTCGGCTGGTGGGGGGCGGACAGCGCTCCCGTCGTTCTGTCTCTCTCGCTGCGAGACGGGCGACAGACGGACGGGCGGGGCGACGAAGCAGAAGCAGGTCGGTCTGTGTTGAGAAGCCGTCTGCTTGCATCGCAAGAGCAAGACAAAGCCCCCGGCCCCTCAAAACTTGGACGGCGACTTCTGCGACCCGCCGGGCCGGGACTAGAGGTGACGCTGTCGCACCATTCCTTAGGATCGCCTCGTCGCTCTGTCTCTGTCGAACTCGAGGCGTCCAGTGTAGGTGCGAGAGAGACAGAGCGACGGAGCAATCAGCCGGCTGGTGGCCCTCGTCACGGGGCGTCGGTAATAATTGAGTCGGTCGGACTGCGACTCCGGCGTCCAGCGGACTCATTCCGAGAGTCGTTTTCGTCGCTCTGTCTCTATCGCACCCGTGGGGCGCCCCGCTTTGGCGCGAGAGAGACAGAGCAACGACAACGACTCTCGGAATCAGTCTGCAGAGCAATTCGGAGGCAGTTCCGCAAATCGGCGTGCTGCGGCGGCTAGGCCGGGCAAGGCTAAGCAAGGCCTCCTCTTGCCGGCACGCCGACGGCGGCACGCCCGGCACACCGGAGGCACGGTGACACTGTAACTCAAGTCCCGGCCGCGCCGCCCGGCATACGCCGCGCATGGCTGCCCGCCCGGACTGGACTCGGAAGCGACACCCGACCACGCCACCGGCTTTCCTCCGCAGGCCGATTCCGAGAGTCGCTTCCGTCGCTCTGTCTCTCTCGCACCTACACGGGCGCCCCATGAGTGCGAGTGAGACAGAGCGACGAAAACGATGAGTCCGCCGCGACCGCAATCTACTCGTACCGGGGGCGGCTGCTGCCGGGCTGCTGCCGGGCTGCTGCCGGCGGCGCGGCCCTCCGAGTGATCAATGAGGTCCTGGAGGCCCCGAAGGAGGCGGACAGGCTCTCGTCTGCGTGTCACCTCCTTCACACTCGGAGGAAATGAGGCGCGGCAACTTGGCTGGGCGGCACGAGGGGCGGCCGCCGTGAACAACGCCCCCTTTTCGTGGCCGCGGCCGGGTCTCGAACCCGCGACCTCTTGGACGACTCTTGGAGTGCCAGGGCAAGTCCAGACCGTCCAGATCACTGCGGTGTCGAACCGGACTTACCTGCTGGCACTGTGCGACCCGTCGGTGCGATATCCGTGCGACCGGCCCGATACCCGATCGCCGGATCTAGACGAGCAACAGCAGCAACAGACTCCGGGCCGCCTGCACCGGTCTTCTGGCCCACTGTGCGCGGCGGGACGGGGCGCGCATTTGAAATGTTCGGCCGCGCGCTAATCCGGCAGTCCGATTCAGCCGGCGCGCCGCGGCCGCTGCAGCACACCGATTCCGAGAGTCGTTTTCGTCGCTCTGTCTCTCTCGCACCCACACGGGACGCCCCGTGAGTGCGAGAGAGACGCAAACGGCCGTCGGAATGAGTGTGCTGCGTAGGGCCGGCGGGGTGCCGTGCTCGCCGCCGTCCGCGAGGGCTCAGCCACGGCCATGCTCGGCGCAGCGCGGTGCCGCCGGGGCCAGCACACTGATTCCGAGAGTCTCCCTCGCACCCACAGGGGACGGCCCACGAGTGCGAGAGAGACAGAGCGACGCCACGGGCGTCGCGGTGCAGCGCAGCGGCCGAGCGGCCGAGCGGCGGGGAGGTCTCTGAACTTGGCCGCGTGGCGGACGGCGGGGCGCGGCGGGGAAGGCGTCCCCCGGCTTCGGTCCGGCCGAGTGCAGCCAGCCCAGCCGGCCTGCAGCACGCCTGCAGTGGGACGGACCACGACGGACACCCACGTGGGTCACTCCCTTGGCGACGTGCTCCGCCGGCACGGCAGACCGATTCCGAGAGTCCTTTCCGTCGCTCTGTCGCTCTCGCACCTGTGCCGGACGCTCCCTGAGTGCGAGAGAGACAGACAGGGCGAGGACAGAACGACTCGCTCTGAGTCAGTCTGCTGCCACCGCCATGTAGGGCCGCATCGCCGTGGTGCAGCCGAGCGGTTCAATTTCGCCCCGGATGGCCGAAGACGCCGTGTGTGTGTGTGTGTGTGTGTGTGTGTGTGTGTGGTGTGTGTGTGTGCGCGCGCGCGCGCGCGCGCGGTGTGTGTGTTTGTGTGCATGCATGCATGCATGTGCATGTGCGTCTATGTGTATGTTCTATGTGAAGGGAAAGGCTTACGTTCCTGGATCCGCCCCTGCACATGGACCCTTTGTGCGTCAACTGGCGACGAGGCTGGCAGCCACCGCCGTCACTGACCGCGATTTGACCGACCAATTGCGGCCGCGGCAGAAGTTTGCGGCCGCACCTCGCAAGACTCTCGGAAGCAGCCTGATGCGGAAGGGAGAAGGGGGAGAAAGGGAAGTGAGGAGTACCCACCTCACAGGGTTTTTTCCGAAAGGTCGCTGAAACTGAATTCGCGGCACTCGTTTTAATGTCCACCCAATTTGCATGCAGATAAGCGTTTTAATTCCCGCTGAAAATATCGGGGTGAGAGGAGGAGGGGAAGGGGAGGGGGTGTTGACGCAGCTCACACAGCCGCCTGGTCCATTTTTTGGAAGGACTTTGGCCGAGGGGTGATGGACTGTAAAGTTTTGTGTGCAACGATTCCGGGAATGTGTCAGAATGTGCAAGATTACTGGTGTTTTTGCCTATAAGCTTACTTACAGGCGTTTTCATGGTTTGAGGTTTTGAGGGTTAGGGTTCGAGGGTTCGAGGTCCGAGGTTCAATGGTTCAAGAATTCGAGGTTCGGCGCTTCAAGGGTTCAGGGGGATCAAGGTTCGACGTTGCAAGTTGAAGGTTTCGAGGTTCGAGGGTTCGAGGTACGGGGGTTCGAAGAGCAAAACGCGCGCGCCGTGGCCGAAATGGACGCTGGCGGCCGTTCGCCCCGCCCGTCGGTGTACCTCATAAATTTGGCCCCCGCGGCACCGCGGCACCGCCACACTGCAGCGCGACGCAGCGCACAGCACGGCACGGCGGACCCTCGCCGCCCATCCCCGATCCTGTGGGCCAACACGCCCGCGCCGCGTCTTATGCGTATTGACTTTGGCGACGCGAAGGGGCTCCGTGAGGGACTCGGTGAGGGACTCGGTGAGGGGCTCGGTGAGGGACTCGGTGAGGGACTTCGGCAGCAGAAAAGATAAAATAAAAGTGCTGGCTTGGTGTCGCTAGTGCGCCTCCCCCCTTCCCCCTCACTCCCCTCCCTACCCGCGCGTCTCCCCAACGCCCTGGCTGCTGCCGCGCTACTTGTGTGGCGGAGTTGTCGAAATTGAATTTACAGTGGGGGGAGAGGGGAGTAGCGATCAAAACCCGCTCCGTTCGACCTCGCGTGACGCTTTTTTTCGGCGCCGCCTCCTCCGGCGGGCAGGGCACTTCCCCGTGTTTTTGCTTGCGTCGCGTCGAGTGTAGGAGTCCTGCTGGGGGGGGGCTAGCCATTGGCAGGCCCTGTGGCTAATGATGTGCAGATGTGTGGCGCCCCCTTCCGCCCCTCGGCCCCTCGGCCCACTACACCGCATTGACCCGGTGGACGCCCCGGTTGGCCTGTCTGCCCCGGCACTATGGCAAGCGCGGCTGCGTGCTTCCAGACCCACAATGTGTGCGCGCCGCCTAATTAAGGGACAATAGGTCTTAAACGCGCCCCGCCCCGCCCCGCCCCGCCCAGCATACGCACGACGCGGCAGGAAGACGCGGCGGCCAGGACGATGACGGCGGCGGAGGAGTGGAAGGATTGATCCGCGCTGACGGAGTGACGGAGTGACGGAGTGACGGAGTGACGGAGTGACGGAGTGGCCCCGTCGACTGAATTAGGCCCTCTGAGCAGGCAGGCCCTCCTAGAGCAAGCCCTTGCCCTGCAGCGGCGCGTTGCCGCGGACAGGTGCTGGGGGAGTTGCCGCAAGTAGTGTGGTGCGTTATTCCGCACACGTACTATTGGGCGTGGCGGGGCGTGGCGGGGCGTGGCGGGGCGTGGCGGGGCGTGGCGCGGGCGGTGTGGCGGGGGCGTGGCGGGGCGTGGCGGGGCGTGGCGGGGCGCGTGGCGGGGCGTGGCGGGGCGTGGCGGGGCGTGGCGGGGCGGGGCGGGGCGTGGCGGGGCGTGGCAGGGCGTGGCGGGGCCCGCTTTAGCACCGTCTGTGTTGTGGCGGCGCCTTCACCGTGTCCGTTTCCTTCATCGTCCTCGTCACCACGCCGTTGTCCTCGGTCGCCTTGGTCGCCGTGGTCCTGGTGCTGGGAGGAGCCCTTGGAAAATCGGTGGTTGGTGACATCCTGAAGCAGAGAGCCAAACCCAATTGGCAAAGAAACCACCAAGAAACGAACATCGACTTGTCTTATTTTGTCACCCGATGATGACAATCGCTAATTTTTTAGTGAGAGGAAATCTAACTGCTTTATTCGATCTGGGTGACGTACTCTTGCTCCTTTTCGTCGCGGTCCTCTCCTCTTGCAAGTGGTGCCGAGGCCCCCTCGCGGAGTTTTCGTGCGTTGCCCCTGGTGTGTGGACCCTCCTGGCGGCGTGGCGGGGACCCTGCTGCTGCTGGTGGTAACTCAAGGCCCGGCAGCCTGTAGTAACACAATAAATCCGCGGCGAATTTATTTGCAAAGTGCTCCTATAAAGTGTAGGCACGGCGCGTATCGATTCCTCGCCTTATTGGCGGGGCAGGCGTCGTTTGCTCGAGGCCGCTGTGTTGTGCCGCCTCTCGTGTGTGTGTGTGGGGGGGGGCAGCCTTTTTCATCTCTAATCCTTCCTTTT